TGTGCCTGTTTGTTTGCATTGAGAAGTGGGAGTCCTGCAGAGCGTGGAAAACAAATATTGACAGTCTTGGGGGAGCCAGGAATTGGCCATGGGAAGGAAGGGGACAAGGGCTGCCTGAACCAGTCGGGTGCCGCCTGTGCCCAGTGGATGATGCCTGCATCCAGTTGGTGATGACTGTAGCCGGTGGGTGATGACTGTACCTGGTGAGTGATGACTGTACCCAGTGGGTGATGTCAGTATCCTGTGGGTGATGACTGTATCCGGTGAGTGGTGCCTGCATCCAATGGGTGATGTTTGAATCCAGTGGGCAATGACTGTACCTGGTGGGTGATGCCTGTACCCAGTAGGTGATGTCTGTATCCCGTGGGTGATGACTGTATCTGTGAGTGGTACCTGTATCCAGTGGGCAATGACTGTACCTGGTGGGTGATGCCTGTGTCTGAGTGATGATGCCTGTTATCAGGTGGGCGGTGCCTGTGCCCAGTGGGTGACGCCTGTATCCAGTGGGTGATGAATGTAAACGGTGGGTGACGTCTATACCCAGTGTGTGACATCTGTCCCTGGTGGGTGACGTCTGTATCTGGTGGTGACATCTGTATCTGGTGGGTGATGTCTGTATCTGGATGTCTGTATCTGGTGAACGATGACTGTATCTGGTGATGACATATATATCTGGTGGGTGAAGTCTGTACCTGGTGGGTGATGTCTGTATCTGGATGTCTGTATCTGGTGAATGATGACTGTATCTGGTGGTGACATCTGTATCTGGTGGGTGATGTCTGTATCTAGACGTCTGTATCTGGTGAACAATGACTGTATCTGGTGATGACATATATATCTGGTGGGTGATGTCTGTACCTGGTGGGTGATGTCTGTATCTGGATGTCTGTATCTGGTGAATGATGACTGTATCTAGTGGTGACATCTGTATCTGGTGGTGACATCTGTATCTGGTGGGTGATGTCTGTATCTAGACGTCTGTATCTGGTGAACGATGACTGTATCTGGTGATGACATATATGTCTGGTGGGTGATGTCTGTACCTGGTGGGTGATGTCTGTATCTGGACGTCTGTATCTGGTGAATGATGACTGTATCTGGTGGTGATGTCTGTATCTGGTGGTGATGTCAGTACCTAGTGGTGACATCTGTGTCTGGTGGGTGATGTCTGTATCTGGTGGGAGATGTCTGTATCTGGTGGTGACATCTGTATCTTGTGGGTGATGTCTGTATCTGGACGTCTGTATCTGGTGAGTGATGACTATATATCTGGTGATGACTTCTGTGTCTGGTGGGTGATGTCTGTATATGGTGGTGATGTCTGTATCTGGTGGGTGGTGTCTGTATCTGGATGTCTGTATCTGGTGAGTGATGACTATATATCTGGTGATGACATATGTATCTGGTGGGTGATGTCTGTATCTGGTGAGTGATGACTGTAACTGGTGGTGACATCTGTATCTGTTGGGAGACGTCTGTATCTGGTGGTGACATCTCTATCTGGTGGGTGATGTCTGTATCTGGACGTCTGTATCTGGTGAGTGATGACTATGTATCTGGTGATGACTTCTGTGTCTGGTGGGTGATGTCTGTATATGGTGGTGATGTCTGTATCTGGTGGGCGATGTCTGTATCTGGTGGGGACATCTGTGTCTGATAGGTGATGTCTGTATCTGGATGTCTATACCTGGGGGGTGACATCTGTATCTGGACGTCTGTATCTGGTGAATGATGACTGTATCTGGTGGGATATGTCTATATCTGGTGGTGATGTCTGTATCTGGTGGTGATGTCTGTACCTAGTGGTGACATCTGTATCTGGTGGGTGATGTCTGTATGTGGTGGTGATGTCTGTATGTGGTGGGTGATGTCTGTATATGGTGGTGATGTCTGTATATGGTGGTGATGTCTGTATGTGGTGGTGATGTCTGTATCTGGTGGGTGATGTCTGTATATGGTGGTGATGTCTGTATCTGGTGGTGATGTCTGTATCTGGTGGGTGATGTCTGTATCTGGTGGTGATGTCTGTATCTGGTGGGTGATGTCTGTATGTGGTGGTGATGTCTGTATCTGGTGGGTGATGTCTGTATGTGGTGGTGATGTCTGTATCTGGTGGGTGATGTCTGTATCTGGACGTCTGTATCTGGTGAGTGATGACTATATATCTGGTGATGACTTCTGTGTCTGGTGGGTGATGTCTGTATACGGTGGTGATGTCTGTATCTGGTGGGCGATGTCTGTATCTGGTGGGGACATCTGTGTCTGATGGGTGATGTCTGTATCTGGATGTCTGTACCTGGGGGGTGACATCTGTATCTGGTGGGTGATGACTATATCCAGTGGGTGATGTCTGTATCCCATGGGTGATGACAGTATCTGGTGAGTGGTGCCTGTATCCAATTGGTGATGCCTGTATCTGGTGGGTGATGCCTGTATCCTCTGGGTGTTGACTGTACCCGGGGGGTGATGTCTGTATCCCGTAGGTGATGACTCTATCTGGTGAGTGGTGCCTGTTACCAATGGGTGATGCTGGTATCCAGTGGGCAATGCCTGTACCTGGTGGGTGATGCCTATATCTGGTGGGATGCCTGTACCCAGTGGTTGATGCCTGTATCCAGTGGGTGGTGCCTGTATCCAGTGGGTGATGAACATAAATGGTGGGTGACCTCTGTACCTGGTGGGTGACCTCTGTACCTGGTGGGTGATGTCTGTATCTGGACGTCTGTACCTGGTGAGTGATGTCTGTGTCTGGAGGTGACGTCTGTGTCTGGTGGGTGATGTCTGTACCTGGTGGTGACGTCTGTGTCTGGAGGTGACGTCTGTGTCTGGTGGGTGATGTCTGTACCTGGTGGTGACGTCTGTGTCTGGTGGTGACGCCTGTGTCCCGTGGGTGACGTCTGTGTCTGGAGGTGACGTCTGTGTCTGGAGGTGACGTCTGTATCTGGTGGGTGACGTCTGTGTCTGGAGGAGACGTCTGTGTCTGGAGGTGACGTCTGTTGTCTGGTGGGTGGTGTCTGTATCTGGTGGTGACGTCTGTGTCTGGAGGTGACGTCTGTATCTGGTGGGTGACGTCTGTGTATGGATGAGACGTTTGTGTCTGGAGGTGACGTCTGTTGTCTGGTGGGTGGTGTCTGTATCTGGTGGTGACATCTGTGTCTGGTGGTGACGCCTGTGTCCCGTGGGTGACGTCTGTGTCTGGAGGTGACGTCTGTGTCTGGCAGGTGATGTCTGTATCTGGTGGGTGACGCCTGTGCCTACAGGTGATGCCTCTGCCTTGTGAGGCCCGTACCCGATTGGGGTACATGTGCCTGGCAGGGTGTTCTGGTGTGAAGGTAGGGTTGTCTAGGCAGGTGCAGCCCCTTGTGCCCCAAACCCCCTGAAGGTTATGTGGCTTCAGCATCACTGCCTGCCGCACTCCATCCTCCAGATCTCTCCAGTGTGGGTGCCGAGTCCCATGGTCATACCACACTGCATGTGAGGGGCTTCTGGTTTTACTAAGTTCCATGAAAATTCTACAGCGTGAAGCACAGCCCTAGGGGGAGGCAGGTGGGTCTCTCAGAGGAGGCTGGTGGGTAACTCAGAGCTCAAGGGTCAGGGCTCCTTGGAGAACAGGTCCAAGGCTGCCTGGCTGGGAAGATCACCTCCTGTGGGTGGGGCGGTGGGAACCAGGGCTGTGCCAAATGCACGTGGGGTGTTTATGGGTGAGGGGGCAGCTTTGGTCCTGGACCTCTGGGGGTGGAGGAAGTGGGTCGGCTGGTGAGGGTGTCCAGTGCCTCCAGGCCTGGCCTCTCAGCATTGAGTATCATGGGGCCAAAGACACTCTGTCCAGGGCAGCAGGACACAAATGTCTGTCAGAGGAAAGCGCCAGTTTCTTGGGAGCTTGTGCAACGTGTACACGGACAAAGAAGTGTGAAGGGGAACATGTAGGATGGCATACACTGCCACACATGCACACACACATCTGTACACATGTGCAGATTCACCCAGACATACTGACTGACATCTGCGCACAGTCATACAAGCAAACACTCCTGTAAACATGTGCACATGTACCCCGATGTACCAAGCCACAAATCCAGGAACACACACACTCACACACACAGCTCTACACATGTGCACACTCACCCAGACAGACAAACCCACATCTGCACACACACACAGACACACACAAATACACACACGTGCGCCTGTACACACGTGCAGATTCACCCAGACATACTGACCCACACCTGCATCAAGACATGCACACACACTCATACAAATACCTGTACACATGTGCACATTCGCCCAGACATAGCTACCCACATCTCCATGCACACAGACGCACACACGCCTGTACACAGTACACTCACCCAGATGTACCAACCCGCATCTCCACATGCACACACACACACATACTCACACAAACACCTGTACACACGTGCATGCTCACCCAGATTTACCAACCCAAATCTGCAGGCACACACACACACACACACACATCTGTACACACATGCACATTCACCCAGACATACCGACCCACATCTGCACATACACAGCTACGCAAGCATGCACACACCTGTACACATGTGCACGTCATTCACCCATGCCGACCCACATCTGCATACAGACACATGAATACACACATGCACACCCACCTCTGTGCTAATAAACACACACATGCACATCCACCTCTATATCACGCATGCAACACACCCACACATAAACAGACTGTACACTGCTCACACCAACATGTGCACACACACCTGTGCCTACACACTCACCTCTGCACATATACACACCCACATACCCACAGTTCTACGTACACATGCACAGCCCCGCACCTACACTCACCCTCACCCACACACAAATCCCTATCTAGACACACAAGAACACACGGCCACAGCCCACACCTACACACATACAAACGTCCACACACCCACACACAGGCCACACACATGTACACACACTTCTGCACCCTGCACACCCACATTCCCCCATACGCCCCCATTCCCACACACCCTCCACAGTGCCTGGCGTGTCTGCCGGGTTCCCGAGCAGGAGCTGACGGCAGGGGCCAGGAAGGGGATGCCCTGCTCCCCAGAGCGCCCCGCCTCCCTGGGATGCCCCCTGCTCCCCGGAACGCCCCCTCCTCCCCAAAACGCCTCTCCTCCCCGGAAGGCCCCATGCTCCCCTCCCGCATCCCCACCTGCCCTCCCTGCAGGCCGGCGGTGACCTCAGAGCAGCCTGCTCACTCAGGAGGTGGCCCTGTCCGCGGCGGGTGCCCCGTTTCCACATCCCTACTTGTGGAGCAGCAAGAGTCACAAGCTGCAAACAGGCTTGGAGAGGCGGGTGACTGGCGTCTGTCCGTGGGCACCTGTGTGACACGTGCGAACCACACATATGTCTCCCACAGCAAGCGATTATTCCTGTTGATGAAGAGATAAATGCTCCGGGGCGTTTTCCCTTTGGTTTTCCCCGCTGTAGCTCAGAGTGTTAATTTTGGCATCTTTCTGCGTGTAAAAGGTTCTGATGCTGTTAGACTTCCATGCTTTATATTGGAGACGAGTGTGGAGTTTTTGTAACATCTTGTTGTCTTTCCATAGCTTACTGTAGCACGGCCCATGAGGCAAAAACTACTATTTAATTTTTCATGAGAAGAATAAAAAATATATAAAGGAAAGAGTTGAAAAGAGAGGAAACCATAACACAAATACTTTTGTGCATTTTGCTGGCATTTTTTTCACGGTCTTCACTTTTTAAAAACTTGCAGGGTTGTTTCTGACAACCAAGAGTGGGTGAGCAACTTTCTCGACGCTGCACAAGTGGGTTCTGACTCAGGCCTCACTGGTCCCAAAGAGGGTGAGCTTGGCTGGTGTCAGTGGCTCTGGACAGACAACACAGCAGACACACACAAGTGCACACACACGCACACACTTCTGGGCAATAGAAACACACGCCTGATGATTGCGCTCTTTTCTGTCCTGGTGTTTTGTTATCTGTCTGTGTCCCCATCCATCCACCCATCCGTCACTGTTTGTTCCTGTCCTCCATACCTTGTATCATTGACCACTGATGCATCCATCCAGCACATGCACTATCATCTATCCAACTCTCTGTTCATCTCCTATCTAGGTCTATTATCTATCTGTCTACCTCACAAGAAAGGTGGTTCTAATTCTTTACTAAGTGCTCAAGAATCCTCCTGCAATGGAGGAGACCCAGGTTTGATCCCTGGGTCAAGATACCCTGGAGGCGGGCATGGCAACCCACTCCAGTATTCTTGCCTGGAGAATCCCACTGACAGAGGAGCCTAGTAGGCTACAGTCCGTGGGGTCGCAAAGAGTCAGACACAACTGAGTGACTAACACTTTCCCTTTATTTTCATGTATCTACTCATCTATTCTCTTTCATCTATCTATTCTATTATCTGTCACCTATCTGTATCTATTATCAACCCATCCATCCACTATCTACCTATCCATCTATTATCTATCAGCTATAACCAGAGAAGGAGAGGGCAACCCACTCCAGTATTCTTGCCTCGAGAATCCCCTGGACAGAGGAGTCTGGCACACTACAGTTCATGGGGTCACAAGAGTCGGACACGACTTAGCGACTAAACCACCATCACCATCTCTATCTATCTATCTATACCTTTTCATGTATTAAGGACTATATTTCCGTTTTTGTTTTCCTGGTTGTCTGTTTGTACATTATGCCCATTTTCCGTAGGATGTCTGGTCTTTGCCCTTATTAATACAGTAGGAATGTCAGCCATTTATCTGTGATATATGATGCAAACATTTTTCTCAATGTGTCTTTGTCTTTTGACTTTGCTTATTGTTTTCTTTTGTTTTGGGGGGGGGGCATCAGTTGGGCCAAAAATAGTTTGCTGTCAAAGCTGCCACTCTTTCTTTTTATCGCATCTAGATAGCTTTTCCTTACACACAGATCATGGGGGAATTCAACCAGGTTTTTTTTTAACTGATATAATTCTATTAAAAAAAAATATATCCAGGTAGGCACTGAGCTTTGTGGCGTATAATATCCACAGCTGTTACATCTTGATAGTGTGCCGTGCTTTTAGCCTTAGATAATGTCCTTCTTTGTCTAATTTAAGGGTTTTTTGGTCTACATTGTAGTTTGTCTTTGATTAGCACTTTAATCCCTGCAGTCAGATGGTTTTTGTTTGCCGGTCATTTGTCTTTTCTTTCTGAAACTTTGAAATTTCTTTGTTTTAGGTGTGTTTCCCATGTAACACCTGCAGCTGGATATTGCTTAGCTGATAACCCGATGTGAAAAAAGCCTTTCCGTTTCAACAGGCAAATGAAGCCGGTTCATGTTTACTGAGATAAATGATACTTTTGCTTTCAGTTCATTTTACTTTACAACCACTGTTCATATTATGCTGTTCTTTACCATTTCTTTCCATATGTAATGAGGTCGCACTGTATGCAGGTCAAGAAGCAACAGTTAGAACCAGACCTGGATCAACGGACTGATTCAAAATTGGGAAAGGAGCACAACTAGGCTGTGTGTTGTCGGCCTGCTTATGTAACTTCTTCGCAGAGGACATCATGCAAAGTGCAGGACTGGGTGAAGAACAAGCTGGGATCAAGATTGCCGGGAGAAGTATCAGTTACCTCAGATAAAGCAGATGACGCCACCCTTACGGCAGAAAATGAAGAAGAACTAAAGAGCCTCTTGATGAAAGTGAAGGAGACGGAAAAACCTGGCTTGAAACTCAACATTCAGAAAACTAAGATCATGGTGTCTGGTCCCATCACTTCATGGCAAATAGATGGGGAAACAGTGGAAACAGTGGCAGACTTTATTTTCTTGGGGTTCCACAATCACTGCAGATGGTGACTGCAGCCATGGAATTAAAAGGCGCTTGCTTCTTGGAAGAAAAGCTATAACCGACCTAGACAGCATAGAACGAAGCAGAGACATTACTTTACCAACAAAGATCCATCTAGTCAAGGCTATGGTTTTTCCAGTAGTCATGTATGGATGTGAGAGTTGGTTCATAAACGAGGTGACAGGATGAGATGGTTGGATGGCATCACCGACTCAATGGACGTGAGTTTGAGCAAGCTCCGGGAGTTGGTGATGGACAGGGAAGCCTGGTGTCCTGCAGTCCATGGGGTCGCAGAGAGTTGGGCACGCGCGAGCGACTGAACAACAGCAAAACAACACCACTGTTGTTAACTCTTTCCCTCTGACACTTAGGAAGGTGTGTCTTTGCTCTGGGGCTTACCTTTCTGTTCATACTTTCTAGGGTCCCCTCATTTGCTGTCTTATCCTCTTGCTCTCTCATCTCTCAGTTTGAGTGGCTGAAGCGACACACAGGTTTTGCCTCATCTGCATGAGAAAAGTCTAAAATGTGTTGTCAGAATCGGTCTCTTCTCCAGCCTCCAGGGGTCACTGCTTCATCTTTTCTCTGAACTCCTGACTTCCTCTTACAAGTGACCCTGGGCTAACCCAGAGAACCCAGGAAAATTCCCAAACACGAGATCCTTCACTTAATCACAACTGCACAGTCCCTTTCGCCATATAAGTTAAGACATTCACAGGTTCCAGGTTAGGACATGGACATCCTTGGGGACATTATTCTGTCCACCACATGGGGACCAGGAGGTGGACATCCTTCAGTTCAGCTCAATCTAGTCCCACAGTCGTGCCTGACTCTTTGCAACCCCATGGACAGCAGCATGCCACGCTTCCCTGTCCATCACCAACTCCTGGAGCTTGCTCAGACTCATGTCAATTGAGTCAGTGATGCCATCCAACCACCTCATCCTGTCGTCCCCTTCTCCTCCTGCCTTCAATCTTTCCCAGCATCAGGGTTTTTTCCAGTGAGTCAGCTCTTCGCATCAGGTGGCCGAAGTATTTGAGTTTCAGCTTCAGCATCAGTCCTTTCAATGAATATTCAGCACTGATTTCCTTTAGGATTGACTGTTGTATCTCCTTGCGGTCCAAGGGACTCTCAAGAGTCTTCTACAATGCCATAGTTAAAAGCATCAATTCTTCAGTGCTCAGCTTTCTTTATAGTCCAACTCTCACATCCACACATGACTACTGGAAAAGCCATAGCCTTGACTAGACGGACCTTTGTTGGCAAAGTAATGTGTCTGCTTTTTTTTTTCCCATTTATTTTTATTAGTTGGAGGCTAATTACTTTGCAATATTGTAGTGGTTTTTGCCATACATTGACATGAATCCGCCACGGGTGTACATGTGTTCCCTGTCCTGAACCCCCCTCCCACCTCCCTCCCCATCCCATCCCCCTGGGTCTTCCCAGTGCACCAGCCCTGAGCACTTGTCTCATGCATCCAACCTGGGCTGGCGATCTGTTTGACACTTGGTAGTATACTTGTTTCAACGCTGTTCTCTCAGAACATCCCACCCTCGCCTTCTCCCACAGAGACACGTGCATCCCAATGTTCATCGCAGCACTGTTTATAATAGCCAGGACATGGAAGCAACCTAGATGCCCATCAGCAGATGAAAGGATAAGGAAACTATGGTACATATACGCAGTGGAATATTACTCAGCCATTAAAAAGAATTCATTTGAATCAGTTCTAATGAGATGGATGAAACTGGAACCCATTATACAGAGTGAAGAAAGCCAGAAAGATAAAGACCAATAAAGTATACTAATGCATATATATGGAATTTTAAAAGATGGTAACGATAACCCTATATGTGTCTGCTTTTTAATATGCTGTCTAGTTTGGTCATAGCTTTTCTTCCAAGGAGCAAGCGCCTTTTAATTTCATGGCTTCAGTCACCATCTGCAGGGATTTTGGAGCTCAAGAAACTAAAGTCACTCACTGTTTCCATTGTTTCCCCATCTATTTGCCATGAAGTGATGGGACTGGATGCCATGATCTTAGTTTTTTTAATGTTGAGCCTTAAGCCAACTTTTTCACTCTCCTCTTTCACTTTCATCAAGAGGCTCTTTAGTTCCTCTTCACTTTCTCATGTAAGTGTGGTGTCATCTGTGTATCTGAGGTCATTGATATTTCTCCCAGCAATCTTGATTCCAGCTGGTGCTTCATCCAGCCCAGCATCCTTGGGGATATTATTCTGACCATCACATGGGAAAGTAGACCTTCCAAGTCTACCTGTGACGCTCATAAAACTTGGCCCACTGACCTTCCCCAAACCCATCCCCAAACCAAACCAAACCCC